CCTCTCGTACGCCGCGCGCCCGTCCGCTCCCACCTCAAACAGGCTGAGCACCGTGCCCGCGTAGTTGATGAGCCACGGAACGATCATGTGGTCGCGGCTGATGTCCATACCGCACTGACGCTCCACCGCCAGCCTCAGCGTCCGCACGACCCCACCCACGGACTGCACCGCCCGCTCGATCGCGCCGTTGGCCTGGCGCTCCCCTACCGGGCTCTCCTCTCTCACTACATTGTAGGCCTCACCCAGGCCCTCGATCACCTTGTTCCTCACATCGACGATCGCTGGTTCCTGATCGCTCTTGAAGATAAAGTGCCTCACTCCTGTGTACCTGATGGCCTCCGCCACTCTCTCGACGATCCAGGACTCCTTGGCCCCCTTGCTCGCCACCGCGATCGACACCGTCCATCGCCCTTTGTGCTCACGCAGCACCAGTGTCGGCGCTGCCCCCTCGTCGTCGCCCCCGAAGAACGCGTAGTCTACGGAGATCGCGTTGACGAGGTGCGCTCGCTCAGCGCCCACCCTCCGATGATCAGCATTGCGGCCTCGTCCTCCGACGCAGTCGCCGCACCACGCTCTGAACTGCACGTGCCCTGCCGCCTCGCGCGCCTCCCGCTCGATCGTCGCTGGCTCGAACGGTCTCGGAACCACTGCCACTGGTGGGCCCCCCATGTCGCCCATCCTCCTCGTCGTCTGGCTCGTCCTCCGCGGGCGCCGCCACTGCCGGCGCCGCCGCTGCTGCGTTGATCTGGTAGACGTTCGCGTTGGGTCTTACTGCCGAGCATGCCGACAGTTTCCCGCCATCGCACTGACATCTGGAGCCGACCGCTCCTGTCCGTTCACTCGTTTGAGCTTGATCGTGTAGACCCCGCGCCTTAAGTGAACAGGTAAACTCCTGCCGCTCGCGACGTGCTTCAAGTAGCCGCCCTTCGGGCCGAAGTAGACCCCGTGCCCCTTCTCCACCAGCTTCGAGACCGCAAGCAGCATCCGATGCACCCCAGTCGATGTGCACCGAAGTCGCCTCACACTGCCATCCTCCGTCAGGACCTCGATCGTCTTCTCGCCCTCGTCGCGCGCCAACTGCCCATTGGCCGCGCGGCAACTGGTGTCCATCTCGCTGGACACGGTCGGCGTCGCCTCCACATCCGGGAACCACCTGTTCGGAACAACACTCGCCGCCGCTCCAGAGCCCACCGCCGCATAGAAGTACCCCTCGTCGTGATCGCCCAGCGCACTCAGCTCCAGCGTGCACAAGTCCAGCCCACCAATGTTGCCATGGTGCTCGGTCTCGGGCTCCTGCTTGTCGCTCGCCTCCAAGCTGTTGGCTCCACGACTCGGGGGCTGCTGACCACCGCGCGCCGAAGGGCAATCCTTCCGCTGATGTCCCCAGCCCCAGCACATCGAGCGGCGCCCCTGGATGCCTGCCTGCTGCTGTTGTCGCTGACCTTGCTGCCCATTTCGCCGTCGGCCCCGGTGGACCCGGCATCTTGTCGTGCTGGCCCTTGTCCTTGTTATTGCCGTTGCCTTTGCTGCCTTTTCCGTCCTTGCCTCTGCCCTTCGGGCGCTGAGACGATTCACTCGCTCCTCCGCCTGGCTGCCAGCACTCCTTCTTCACGTGGCCCTTCTTCCCGCAGCTGTTGCACGTGATGTCTGGGCTGCCTTTGCCCCCTCGATCCCTGCCACCGCCCTTGAGCCCGCCGATGCCCATCGGACTCGGCCCGTCGTTGACCTTCGACTCCAAGTAGCTTTGGATATCCTCTCTCACGCTGGCGTACGTCTTCAGCTTGTTCGCGCTGAGAACCAGGTGGTCCTTCAGCACGCCCTTCGTCATGCTGACTAGCACCTCGGTCTTGATGTCCTCCTGCATGGCGATGCCCGCTCGCCCCCCCTAAACTCGCAGCCGCTCCCCCCGCTTGGCGATGTGGCTGTTCAGCTCCTTCACGTCCACCGCTCCTGGCTGGATCAGCGCGCCCAGGATGTTCCGCCTGCGACCAGCGCCCTGCGGGTCGAACCTGCGGGACATCACCCTCCATGCCTCGAAACCGTCGTTGTCCTTGGTCGCCTGCACCAGATCCAGCGCCTCGCCTTCGCAGAGCTGCGCCAGCACCGCGCACAGCTGCCTGCGCACGTTCTTCACGTCCGTCCCCTCGTCCATGCAGCCCGCGACCTCTCCGCGATCCTCCTCGGTCAGCGCCTCCTCCTGATCCTGGCAGTACTCCAGCGCTTCCTTGATTCCAATCGTGATCCCCTCCAGGAAGTTGCCCAGCTTGAACGACCAGCTCGACCACGCCTTCATGTCCGAGTTGAACACCGTCGGCTTTCCGATGCCTTTGACGTCGACGAACTGCACATTCTGCTTCCTGGCCTCGCGATCCGCGATGATCGTCGCCTGCAGCTTCGCCATTGCCTCCAGCTCCTGCACTCGCTGCGCCTGCAGCGTCGCCACCACCTCCCTCTGTCGTGTGAGCTCGTTCGTCAAGCTCTGGACCTGCTCGACTAGCTGCCTCAGCTGCTCCTCCGCCATCACAGCTGGTTCCTGATGTCCTCGCGCAGCTCTTTCGTGGCAACCTGTTGCAAGAACTGGCCGAAGATACCCCAGATGCGCTGCAGCCTTCGAATCCTGAGCACACTGCGCACAAGCCGGCGCCAGCGCCCACGAGCAGGGCCCACCACCAGCCAACCTTCTTGATCGGCCTCGTCGTGACCACTATCGGGCCCCGCGCGCCCGAAGGAGTGGGGCTATATGGATCGGTAGCGGGTAGAAACCGGAGCGGGAAACCAGCTCCTGCTGCCATGACGGGATAATTTTGAACCAGCACGGCTGCAGACAGCAACACGCCATCACAACCGTTTATCAAGTATGTCTTGCTACAGTGAGGAGGACACGCGGGCGCGACGCGGGAAGGAAGAAAACCAGAACCCCACTACGCATGCGGGGGGGGAGGGGGGGGGAACAAACACACACTCAAGAGTAGCCGAAAAATCGTCCACAATGTTTTGTTTGACAACTTTTGAACTTTCGCCCTGCAGAGGGACACGCACGACTGAAAACCAGTGTGGTGGAAAAGCGCCGGACGTACAAAGTGGGCCTGCCGACAAGCAGCGGCAGGCCAGGCGAGAGCTGCAAGTGGGAGCCACCACGACGCCAGGCGCAAAATGACAGCTGGTTGGGCCTCAGGTACACCCTCCAACCAGACACTGACGGGGCAGCTAAGCTTAGGTCGGGCATGTACCCCTGCAGACGGACTTTGGACGAGAAAAAAATAATCCACTAATCTTCCAAATTTGTCAAAAATGGCACAAAAAAAACAAAAAAAAAAAAAAAAAAAAAAAAAAAAAAAAAAAAAAAAAAAAAAAAAAAAAAAAAAAAAAAAAAAAAAAAAAAAAAAAAAAAAAAAAACGTCCCGAAACTACTTGTTTACTATTTCTGAACATTCCTCCTGTAGAGTGACATGCCCGACTTAAAGCTAAGCTGGGGCCACCAGCAGACCTGCCAAGCCGGGCTGGTGTCCAGGCCAGTGGCAGTAGGGCATGCCCGGCGCACCCAGGAATCGGGCCTTGCCGAAGAGCATGGACAGGAAGACCAAGGCCAGCAAGACTGAAGCCCCTGTGAAGAGGCTGCCGAGTCAGATATGCATGCCAGGCGCGATCCAGAGACCAGGCCTTGTCGAAGAGCATCGTCAGGGAGACCGAAGCCAGCTACGCTGGAGCCTTCGATAAAGCAGAGACTGCCGAGCCGGATCAATGCCCAGGCCGAACAGGCTTGGCGGCGCGCATAAGGAGACAGGGGGAGGGGGGAAGGCTTCTTAGAAGGAGGCTGCTTCTTAGAAGGCGCCAGTCCTACATCTATAGACAAGGCCCGCGCCTTCTAGGAAGCAGCCTCCTTCTAAGAAGCCTACCCCCCTCCCCGTACAGTCGGCCCGTCTCATAAGGATGCGCGATAAGGATGCAAGGGCCTTGGACGCCCATTCCGAAGCTTTTCGAGCGGGGCGCGGCCAACGAAAGTAGCGGGGTGGACCGATGAGGAAAGGATGCAAGGGTACCCTTGGAAGGTCACCCATCCTTACCATGCGGGTTATCTGTGCCCCCCTCTGCGCGTGGAATTCTGCCGAGACGGACCGACGGCCAGGCAGAACAGGCCGCGGGCGTCATCAGGCAGAACCCGTAAACCAGGCCTTGCCAAAGAGCACCGCTGGGCGCCGGCGCGGCCAGGATGCCACACAGAGAGGGCAGGAAGGCTCACAGAGAGCGCCCCCCAATAAGCCCCAAGAGGTCCCCGAAGAGCCCCAGGTTAGCGACAATCAAATAGAGGTCTTACGCGAGATGGCATAGCGACCTTTACGCGGTGGATTGCGCGGGCCGCTGGCGCGGCACGCCACATCGGAGACGAGGGCGCTTACGCGCGACCTTACGCTAACAGCTTACGCGCCAATGTCGGCGCAGTGAGTTTTTCTGCGTCGCCCAGGTGGTTCCACGGGGCATCCAGGAGTCCCAGCGGCACGCAGGTTGGCCATTGCTGGGGGCTGCTCGGGCGGATTCCAGCTTCCATGTGGCTGCTATCCCCCATTTCGGCGCCGCGCCATTGGGGGGGGAAAGAGAAGGGGCAGGCCTTCTCGGAAGGCGGCTGGGCTTCTCTGAAGCCCTCCGGCCTTCCGAAAAGCCCTTCTGCGACTTCGGAGAAATAGAAAACTTCTCAGACGGCCCGTGGCCTTCTGAGCCTTCTGAGAGGGGCCCACCCCCCTCTGCCCTCCCGCCTGGGCGCGCCGCCGATCTCGATGGTTGGTGTCCTCACCTGTTGTTTCGTTCACGCTCCCCCCCCTTCCCTTCTCACCGGGAATCGCCTCGAAGTCGTTTCTGGACGGGCGGGTGTGGTTTTTTTCTCGTCGCGGCCACAGGCGAAGGCGCCGGCAGCCAAAGCAGAGTTGGCTCGGGCTACGAGCAACCTAATTGCCGGCGCGCGCGCCGAGCTAGGCAAGACCAACCGCCGGGGGGAGCAGCAGCGCCGGGGCGGGCGGGTGGCGTACGCGAAGCGTGTCGAGAATTCGCCGAAGGGCCACAGCGGCCAAGTCGTAGCAAGGGCTCCAGGGAATCAGAAGAAACACACGGCTCACCCTCGTTGTCGTAGAGCGCTCGCTGGATCAGCGAGCGAACCGAACATGCAATTGCCTCGATGGCTACTCGTGGCCTCCACACTCTCGATCGCGAGGGCATCCTGGTGAGGACAAGCAGTTCTGTGCTCCCAGGTCCCTTCAGCTTGCCTTGCTGCCCTGTCACCGCCCCGCAGTCTTCCCCGACCTCCGATACAGTAGGGGATCGACCACAAAAGACCTTGCACAAGAAACCCAACCCTGAGACCCCAGGACGTCCGTTAATTTGTTCACGCTTTCCATCGCAAAACCATCGAAACCCCAGAAACCCAAGGCATACTGGAGGCAAGCAGGGTGTTTTTTTGGCATGGGTCTCCACTGTATCGCTCTTTTTGTCCATCCGTGCGCCCCCAGAGCATTCGACCCCATCCTGGGGACATCTTTCTTCTCGCAGACCAGAAATGACTTGCCCTGGGGCCCATCACCTTCCGCTTGGAAGACACGCCACCTTCGTGATCGGGACGCCGGTGGTCCAGGTCCCCACCCTGTCCCTCATCCCCTGGAGGCCAGGACACCCGCTGTGATGCTCCCAGTCCGCGGCCCCAAGAAGTCCCGACGCCTCCCCCGGGGCAAGTTTCTCGTGCGGATCCACTCCTCGGAGTCCGGAGGCTCGACCACGGGCCCCAGAGGCCGAAGTCGAGGGCACGCACCCGCACCGGAAAAAAAAAGTCTCGTCGAAGATCTGGGGAGGGCCAAGGAAGGGCGGAGCGGGCGCCTGCTGCTGCTGCGGCGGCGGGCCCCCCTTCTGCTGATACGGCATCTGCTGCGGCGGCGGGCCGCCCTTCTGCTGATACGGCATCTGCTGCTGCGGGTGCTGCGGCGGGCCGCCCTTCTGCTGCTGCTGCATCTGCTGCTGCTGCATCTGCTGCTGCTGCATCTGCTGCTGCTGCATCTGATGCTGCTGCATCTGCTGCTGCTGCATCTGCTGATGCTGCATAGGCTGCTGCGCCTGCTGCTGCTGCATCCGCTGTTGCTGCATCTGCTGCTGCATCTGGTGCTGCTGCTGCTGCTGCTGCTGCATCTGCTGCTGCATCTGCTGCTGCTGCTGCTGCGGCTGCGGGGGGCCGCCGTGGCCACCCTGAGCGGGGCGGGCGATGCCGCGCGCGGTCGTCTTCGTCCTGGTCCGCGTCGTCGTCCTCGTCCTCGTCCTAGTCCACGTCCTTGTCCACGTCCTCGTCGTCGTCCTCGTTCTCGTCCTCGTCGTCCTCCTCTTCGTCGTCGTCGAAAGTCACTGCACCGACCTTGCAGACGTGCTGCAATGGATTTTCGCGTAGATGTCTACAACTGCAAAACCCCGAAACAGCGAGCGTAAACGGAATTTCACATGAAATGCTTGTAGTCCTCATTCCTGGCAAAACAAAGACCGCACGAAACTCACTTCGAAATCCAGAACGAAATTCTCCAAGACAATCCAGGCCCATCCCATAGTTTTCCGAACGAGATCCGCAGTGATGTTGGCGCCATGAACACTGGCGACAGCTGCGCATTTCGCAGCCACCCAGTGAGCAGCGCAAAAGGAGGCAGGGAGAAAAAGTGAGGCGGGAGGAGGTGGGGACCACAGTACTCTATCCAAAACGAAAACCCAACACAGGAAGGCTGGGGGAAAAAAAGACCCCAAGGGCAAAAGCCGCAGAAGAATTTTCGGTGTTCTAACATTCCGCTAATCTCACACTCTTCTCCTTCGGATGGTTTTGGGTGCGCTTCAGATTCCCCGAGGCCCGAGACGGCCCCGCAACGCCCGGAGAAGACCTCATGACGGCCTCAGCGGGCCCCAAAGGTTTCAGGGCAGTCTCTGACAGAAGACTCCCAAGAGACCCCTACACTCCAAGCCAGCCCACTTCATAGTTGATATCCCTCCACGCTGGCTCAGAACAGCTCAAAGGTCCCGCAAAGTCCCGAGCAGGAGGAGACCATCGGTGAGAGCGAAAAGCGAAAAGCGAGGGCAACAGAGAGATACTGGAGGACCAGCGAGGAAGGCCGTACCAGAAATACTGCAGGATGCGGCAAGGCAGGGCATGGAACGAGCCAGTCCGAAAGGCACGCGCAGCTCATAGTGCCCTGGCATGCGCCACACCCAAGCGCAAGCGAAAGGCGCGAGCGCGTCTCTCTGGCGACAAAGAAAATGGGCGAGTCCACGGCTGGAGCCCGGGAGGCACAAACGGCCAGCCCGCAGCATACCCCTCCTCCTCCTCCTCCTCCGCCTCCTCCTCCTCCTCTTCCTCCTCCTCCTCCTCCTCCTCCTCCTCCACCTCCTCCTCCTCCTTTTCCTCCTCTTCCTC